TTTTTGGTAGATTGAAAGGATAGAGATCAGGGTACTGGCTTGGTTTGGTTCATCTTTGGCAAAGTAATAGTATCATCTGCAAAGAACAAATGAGAGAGACTATGTCTAGACTTTGAGATTTTGATTCCTATAAGATTCTCAGTACATGTTTTCTGTTTAATTAGATGATTTAGGATTTCAGATATAAGAATGAAAATATAGTGGGGCAATGGGTCCCATTGCCTAATCCCTCTACTTGGTTTAACATACCCACAAGATTCTCCATTGACATTAAAAAAACAGAAGAAATAAAATAGATAATCCAGATCACAAAAGAGAAGTTAAAACCCATTTTAATCATTATTTTACTCACACTCTTCCTTTCCACTCTGTCAAAAGCTTTCTTCATGTCAAGTTTCAGAGTCATATAAAATTAGTGCCACTTTTGTACCTATTAAGATAGTGAATGACTTCATGGCTAAGGATCACATTATCCATGATTTTCCTATTAGGGAAAATGGTGGCTTGGTTTTCACTTATACGAATAGGGAGACAAGGTTTAAGTCTTTTGGCAAGTAGCTTAGAGATAATTTTATAAGTGACACTACACAATTCTGATTGATCTGTAATGAGAGATTTCTCAAGGTTTTGAACTTTGGTAATGAGAGTAATTAAAGTATGACTAATACTTTTGAGAAGTCTACTACACTAAAAAAAGCTCTAACAACAACATATAGTTCTACATGGATGAGGTACTAGAAATTTTGGAAAAAAAAAAATGAGGTCATACCATTTGTGTATGGGGCTTTGTTTGGATTGATACTGAACAAGGCTTCTTTAATTTTCTCATCTCTGATATATGCAACAAGTTCAAGGTTCATTTCTCTTGTGATGACAGGAACTATGTTTTGAAGTAATCTTTCCCCTTCTTCAGACTCCTCAGAGGAGAGCAACTTTTCATAATAACCCTCAATGCATTTGGCCACTTGATCATTTACTTCACAAATAGTGGAATCCTCACAAATGATTATGGCTATCTTGTTTCTCCATCTTCTCTGGATTGCTTGAGCATGGATTTTTTTTTTTTTTTTAATTTTTGTTTCCATGTTTTAACCAATTGACCCTTGCTTTATGTTCCCAATATTGCTCCTTATAACTGTAAGTTCCATCCAACTCTCTATTCATAGTATCCCACTGATTTCAGTCAATAGGCACCCACTTTTCCTCATCTCAGCAACCTCACTACGGAGTCTTTCAATTTTCTTGGCATTTGCTATTTTGAAGGAGCTACTTCATTTTAGAATTTCACTCTTGTTTCCTTAATTCTTGCCTGAAATTTGTGCATTGGAGTGCCTGATTGATCCTTGGTCCACCCTTTTTCCACAGTTTTCTTGGGTCTAGGTTTTGATAGCCATCTCTTATGAAAGAATAATATTTTAAAAAAAGAAAAAAAAATCCCTTGAATGTAGTCTAGCAAAAGAAGGCTCTGATCAGAGGAACTCATGAATATATCTTGAACTGGGGCATTAGGGTAGTGAAAGGACTAGCTCAATGAACTAAACAACCTGTCTAATTTTTTTTTTCTACATATCCTTCTACCTCTCTATTATTCCTTAAAGTGAAGGGATGTCCCACCATTTTGAGTTCTAGCATTCCCATGTTGCTGACAAATTCCTTTAGAGGGTTGAAAGAGGATAGTGACTTAATTCTTTCTCCTTTTTTTTTTCCTCTTGACTCATAATATCATTAAGGTCATCCCCTAAGAACCAGTTGCTTCCATAGCTCTGTTTTGCCTCTAACAGTTGGGACAATTGCCCTTGTCTGATTTAGCTTTCTATACTAGCATAAATGAAAATGCCCCAGTAGTTCATTGCTTTATTTGCATCCAGTACTCAACTTCAAGATAAAAGAAATGCTTTAGAATTCTGTTCACTTGAGTGTCTCTATTCCAACATAAAATTGCCCACCACTTCTACCAATTGGCTCTACCAAAGCCCAACAATCCATCTACACCTTACATTTTACAAATTGTCTTTAAGATTTTTTATTTTTTTTTTTTTTTTGTTCTAGAGAGTAAGAGAAATTTTGGGTGATGGAGCCTTCATATCTCCTTGATTTGGTAAACTGTAGATGGATCACCCACACCTCTACTATTCCACACAGGTACTTTAATTGGTCACCTTGTGGGCCTTGTAGGCTGGCCACCTTCACCTCCGATTGGCTAATATTGAGTTTTTGTTCCCTGTTTCTGGCTGTGATTGTGGGATGCTTGCAGTCTTATCTTCACTATTCACCATAATGATACTCTTTTTTCCCTTGTTGAGCTGGGTGGGTTTGTGTCATCTCCATGCCTTGCCACTGAGGTTTGTTTCCTTTTCCAAATTCTCCTTTTCCTTTTCCCTTCCCCCTTGGTTGAATGGTTTGGAGACTGGTTGGTTCTTCGGTGTTGGTACTTTGGATGTGGATTGGGTTGTGGTCTGAAATGGTAGGAGGGTTTGATTATGTTTCCATGTCTGTATTATGGTTTAAGGTAATGATTGGGAGGACAATGAGATTTATGTTTGACAGGGTAAGAGATCAGAGTGATCACACACCAAAATTTGATTATATAGAGTAATTTTGAGACGAATATGAGGTTGGGAGTTATCTTTGAATGGTGGAGAAGGTTTTTGAGAAGAGGAGTTGTAGTGTGACTTAGCTCACTGAGAATTGTTTAAGGGTTCTTCAGTGGATTTTTTGTGGTTATAATTTATGTTTCTTTGGTTGTGAGATGTGGTTGCATTCTAGCTAGAAGATGAAGGCTTCATTAGCTTTCAGTTATTCCCCATAGAGACCTTCCACCAAACAACAGTTTGATATATCTTCTGATCTCGTTTTGCAATTCTTGCCAATATGTCCAATTATCCCATAGTAATAGTATAAACTCACTAGCTTCTTATACTTGAATTGTACTAATGTTTTTTTGTTTCCTAGTTGAATATTTGCACATCTGAGCAGAGGTTGATTCAAGTCCACTGAGACTAGTAATCTTAGGCATTTCCCAGCTAGGGTCCCTCCTTGAGGCAGTGAGACATCTCTGTTTTCTTGAAGGCTTTTCCAATTTTAAGACCTGCTCCAAAAGACATCCAGTTCAGAGTAGAGCTGTCAAAATGGGCTGGTGGGACGGGCCGACCCGTACCCCGCCAAATCTTGCTTGGCAGGGCGGGACAGGCCTGTGAAAAGCTGGCCCAACTCGTACTCTCCACGTGTCGCAGGCTCGGCGGGCCATTTTTTTTAAGCTGGGCTTGGGTTGGATCGGGTCGCGGACCAGTTCAATATCTAAAAAGAACCTGCTGACTATAATTCAAAAAATCTGCCACGCCTATAGTGCAAACTGCAAACTACAAAAAAAAATGTGGAGGCTGGAGACGGTTTTTGAATGTCGCGTCGGAGGCGCTGGCAGAGGTCAGCGAATCGGAGGGGAGAGGTTGAGTAGCCATGTGTCGCGTGTGGAGGTGATGGGGGAGGCGTGGGCGGAGATCGGAGAATCTCGTGTGCAACATCAGCGTGTGGAGGCGACGGGGATAAGATCTCGTATTCTCTATTCTACATAGTATGTGGACTGGAGGCGACGAGAGAGAGGGTAGCAACAACACGTTGGTAGGGTTAACTATGTGTGTGTGTGTGTGTTTTTTTTTTTT